GGCTATTTTTTGGTTGCAGCTGTCATTGTTGTTTGGTGGGCCGGGCTGGATTCAAACCTGCCACCTTAGGTGTATGTGGCTGGCACCTTAGCTGCTTCAGCCACAGGCACCGAGCTACCATATTTTTTCTTATAGAAATTACTTAATATATTTATGTACTGTTTTATTTATTTGTGTGACATCTACCCCCACTAAATTATAAGCTCTGTGAGGGCAGGAATTATGTTCACTATTATATTTTGAAGGATGAACACAGTATCTAGTGCATAATAGTAGCTCAGTAAGTATTTATTGAATGAAGGAAGGAAGGAAGGAATGTTTTTCCCAAGCGTTTATTTTTAAAAAGTTTTATAATGCAATACATGTTTGTATATACTTCTCTTGGATTTAATAATGTATGTTTAGCTCTCTTCTTATTCTCCATATATGCATAATATGTGTATGTGTGAATATAAATTTGTATACGTCACTGTACATTATTACTAGCAGTAGAAGTGAATCATTTGAAATGAAGCTGTAGACATGACATTCTTCTCTAATTCAGTGTTCATCTCCCATGAACACAATCATCCTTCCACAACATTGCATGATACTGTTAAAAATTTAACATGGAAGCAATGATATATTTTTATGAACAATGTTCAGACTTCCTCAGTTGTGCCCATAATGCGTAATGTCTTTTATAGCATTCTTTTTCCTTCATTCCAGGATCCAATTCACAATTTCATATTGTATTTTGTTGGCATGTCCTTCTATTTTCTTGTAATTTAAAATAGTATGCTATTTTTTTCTTTCATTAAATTTATAGTTTTTAAGTGTTGAAGCTGGTTGTCTTGTAGAATGTTGAAATGTGGTTGTGTTTGATCATTTGTGATTAGGTTTAGGTTAGACAATTTTGGCAAGGATGGTGCACAGATGATGATGTCCTTCTCATTGCATCATGTCAGAAAGCCATGATTATTGGACAGGAGCAAGTATTCTAGTACCTGAGCAGCCTAAAGGTGGAGGCTGAGACACCTTGCAGCGTTGGCCATCAGGGGCATAGCGTGAGATTGGTTTAGGCACACTGAGTAAGTGGACAGCCACTTCAGGAGTGATCCCAGTGACAAGTGCTTTCCTGGGAAAGCTTCTGCTTAGCCCAGGTTGGCAGTTTAAAGTGCCGTTTAAGCTGGCTGAGGTGAGATTTAGGCTCTCCACCCTGCGTGGTTTGAGAAATCAGCAGAGGCCTCCAGTCTCCAATTCTCATACAGCCATATCAACACTGTGATTAAAATCTCATACCCCAGAAGATCACCTGTTGCCCAGACAATATTCAGGAAGATATATATACTACTTTGGGTTTGTTTCTTTGGGTTTTTGTTGTTGTTGTTGTTGTTTGTTTGTTTGTTTTAAATTTCAACATTTTCCTTATAGATTTTTCTTTCCCATTTTTCTAGTTTTAATATAATTTTCCATTGTTGCCCTTTTTTAACAATTAGAACTTCATTTCTGCTAGTGTTTCTACCCCTATTATTTGGCCTTTTGCCCAATTTTATCCCATAAAGTTTTTGTTTGTTTGTTTTGTTTTGATTTATAGCATTTTTGTCTTTCCTCTCTACTTGGCAGAGGTGGGGAACTGTGTTCAAACAGGCTAGCAAAGAGTTGCCGACCTCAAGGGAACAACCCAACTGCCCACCCCCAGAGGTTGGGGGTCTTTAAGGTTGGGTCAAAGTACCCTACTATACACCTATATTGCTCCTGTCACCCTCTTTCTGTGCCTCTTTTCTCTTTGTTAATATTCCCTCTTATCCATCCCCTCTCTTTTCTCTTTCTCCCCCCACCCCCTGCTTTTTTTCTTCCTCTTTTTTCTCTTACTGCTCTTCATTCTTCTTGTCCTTCTGGTCCTGTACCAAAAGAACTCATTGAAACCCTAGTCCAGAGGCACAGGAACTTAAAGAACAAGAGAAAGTGAAGAAAATTAGGGCAAGGAAGCAGATAAATCACTCATGAGGAAGAACCATCAGAAAAATCCTGGTGATATGAAAAACCAGTCCAGAGCAACCCCTCCAAGGGACCATGAGGTAGCTACTGTTGAAGATTCCACCTATAAAGAAATGTTAGAAATGACAGAAAGGGAATACAGATGATGAAAACAATGAAGGAAATGATGGAAAATAACCAAAAGGAAATCCAAGAACAGAATCAAATAAGAGGTGAACAATATGAAGAATATAGAAAGGATATAGCAGAGCTGAAGGAACTAAAGCAGTCAATTAGGGAACTTAAAGATGCAATAGAAAGTATCAACAACAGATTAGATCATGCAAAAGAAAGAATCTCAGAGGTAGAGGACAAAGCTCTTGAGATATCTCAGACAGTAAAAGAGGCAGAAAAGAAGAGAGAGAAAGCAGAATGTTCGCTGTCAGAACTGTTGGACTATATGAAGTGTTCAAACATGTGAGCTATAGGTAACCCAGAAGGGGAAGAAGAATGCCCCAGAGGAATGGAAGCCATACTTGAGAATATTATAAATGAAAATTTCCAAAATATCACCAAAGATTCTGACACACTCCTTTCAGAGGAATATCGGACCCCACGTTGCCTCAACTCTAACCAAGCTTCTCCAAGACACATTGTGATGAACCTGTCCAACAATTTCCAGCCCAGAATTCTATATCCTGCTAAGCTAATCTTTAAAATTGACAGAGAAATTTACTGGTATACAACTATTGAGGAAATTTGCCACGACAAGATCAGCTCTACAGGAAATACTTCAACCTGTTCTACACGCTGACCATCACAATGAATCAACAGCAAAGTAAGAACTTCCACAATGATGCAAAAGATAAAACTAAGCAATGGACTCTCACAAAATAAGATGACTAGAACACTACCATACTTATCATATCTCAATAAATGTCAATGGCTTGAATCCCCCCACTGAAGAGGCACAGATTGGCTGACTGGATCAAAAAATACAAGCCATCCAGTTAATGTCTACAGGAACCACACCTAGCTTCAAAAGACAAATTACAACTCCAAGTTAAGGGTTGGAAGACAATTTTTAAGGCAAACAGAATTCAGAAGAAAGGAGGAGTTGCAATCTTATTTTCAGATACATGTGGATTTAAAGCAACTAAAGTAAAAAAAAGACAAAGATGGTCACTTTATATTGGTCAAGGGAAAAGAAGACATTTCAATTCTAAATATTTATGCACCCAATTTAAACGCTCCCAGATTCTTGAAACAGATATTACTCAGTCTGAGCAATATGATATCCTATAATACTATAGTAACAGGAGACTTTAATACTCCTCTTACAGAGCTGGACAGATCCTCTAAATAGAAGTTAAACAAAGATATCAGGGACTTAAATGAGACCGTAGAGCAACTGTGCTTGATAGACACATATAGAGCACTCCATCCCAAAGATGAAGAATATACATTCTTCTCATCACCCCATGGAACATTCTCCAAAATCGATCATATCCTAGGACACAAAACAAACCTCAACAGAATCTAAAGAATTGAAATTTTACCCTGCATCTTCTCAGACCACAAGGCATTAAAGGTGGAACTTAACTCCAAGGAAAACATTCAACCCCACACAAAGGCATGGAAATTAAACAACCTTCTGTTGTATGACAGTTGGATGCCAGGAGAAATAAAAGAGGAAATCATTAACTTCCTTGAGCACAACAACAATGAAGACACAAGCTACCAAAACCTGTGGGATACTGCAAAAGCAGTTTTGAGGGGAAAATTTATTGCTTTAGATGCCTACATTTGAAAAACAGAGAGAGAGTGCATCAACAAACTCACAAGCCACGTTATGGAATTGGAAAATGAAGAATAATCTAAACCTAAACCCAGCAGAAGAAAAGAAATATCCAAAATTAAATCAGAGATCAATGAAATTAAAAACAAAAGAATCATTCAGAAAATTAATGAAACAAGGAGTTGGTTTTTTGAAAAACTAAATAAAATAGATAAACCTTTGGCCAGACTAACTAGAAATAAAAAAGTAAAATCTCTAGTAACCTCAATCAGAAATGATAAAGGGGAAATAACAACTGATGCCACAGAGATACCAGAGATCATCTCTGAATACTACCAGAAACGCTATGCTCTGAA